TTTTTTTTTTTTGACTTTTACATGAACATGCTGAGTCAGGTTATCTGTTGGCAGGCATTTGGTATCATTACTGTAATTTGCTGATGATGCATCAGTTATTCATCTTGGCTGTAGACTGAACAGATGATGCATTACCAGAGTCTGGATGAACAAACTCAGATTAAGTCCCACCAACATGGTTTGCAGGCCTAATGATTCCAGAGAAATGCCATCTTTCACTCTGAATAGAGTTGTACTCTCTCTTCAGGGATGGTTTGCAGTTTGGGATCCTCCTAGACTCACAGCTCCTGCTTAATGAGCAGGTGATAACTGGGTGTAGGAGAGCTTTTGTGTAGTTACATCTTGTGTACTAGTTGCAAGCATTCCTGGATCATGAGCTCCTTCTCACAGTCATTCACACTGATGGTTATCTCTCACTTGGATTATTGTAATGCACTCTACATGGGGCTACCCTTGAAGAACATTCAGAAGTATAGTTGGCATAGTATGTGGCTGTCCAGGTGGTGATGAGTGCATCCTCATATACTATGGGGACCCCACTGCTTCAGGAACTGCACAGGTTGCCAGTCAGCTTCTGGGTGAGATTCATGGTGCTGGTTGTCATCTTTAAAGTACAGCTTCAGACCTGGTTATGTGAGGGATTAACTTCTCCCATGTTTATCTGTCTGCCCAACCAGATTGAATAGGCTCAATTCCTGCAGTTCCCAACTCTTAATGATTGACATCAGATGGGGCCTTGGAAGTGGGCTTTTTCAATAGATATTCAGCCAGCTATGTTCCTGAATGCACTTGTTCTGTCTAGCACAGAAGAAGGAGATGTTGTAATTGGTAGCTGTGATACAAGTGCATGATTGCTGCATTTTGCTGGTTTTATTTATTTTTTTAATTTTGAGTTATACTTTTATGTATTTTTGTGTCTTTTTCTTCTTATTTATCAATGTTTTATTTTACAGGGAGATAGTTGTTTAGAGCTTTTTGGGGAATAGGAGACATAAAAATAGAATAAAGTAATTTAAAAAAACCCAAAGAAATCCATCTCCTTGAAATATTTCTCAATGTTTACATCTTTCATCAGAAATCCAGTTTTCCTGTGAACTTCACCCCATGCTGGTGAAAAGCAAAACAGTTGTGGATACTTAAAAGAAAATCAGATTTTCAAGAGGTATATCTCCCTTTGCTAATGTCTGTAACATTTGTTTAGGCTACATATAATATTTAAACTTCCCTGATTATCTTGCCTTATTAAAAAGAAGTTTGCTCGTTTAAAACCCCATGGGGGGGGGGGAGATAGATACACACATACACAGACACTTTTTCTTTCTCTGAACTTCCTACCTTTTCTGCTACACTATTACATTAAAATTAAAAAAATAAATAAAAATCTTGCCTTATTAAAAAGAAGTTTGCTCGTTTAAAACCCCATGGGGGGGGGGGAGATAGATACACACATACACAGACACTTTTTCTTTCTCTGAACTTCCTACCTTTTCTGCTACACTATTACATTATTTTTCCAGTCACCAAATAAAGAAAGATTTTACTTCTAGTTCCAAAATAACTCAGTTTATTTGGGAGTTAAGGATGAAATCCATTTATAAGTGACTGTGAAAAAGAAAAAAGAAAAAGAAATGATGCACTGCTGAAGTTATTTAAAAAGAACACAGGGAAAAGTAGGACATTCAGGGAAAAAAAAAGTAATTAAAAATGTTTCTGTTGGGTTTTGAATCACCAGACCTCTATTTAAAAGGCCAGAGTTATATCCACTATGCTATTACAGCATGGTAAAGATAGCTCTAAAAAATATTAAAAAGCCACACGGCAATAAGAAATTATGATTTGAAGCTATGTGTTATACCTGCATTTATATGCGTTTTGATGGTTTAGTTCTGTAACTATAAATTCATTTTAACTTTGTGTTACACATGCACACCCACATATAAACATATGTGCGTGTGTGTGTGTGTGTGTTCAGGAAGACCCACTCACATTGGTAATCACTCTACTGGAAAAGAAGGTCAAAGCAGCAGGTGAATTGTCAAATGGGAGGACAGAGTCTGGATTAAATGTTTTGCAAGCTATTGTCAGTCTCTCAATCCAAACAGGATGTTCTTAAACCAGCTAGAGTCAAGCTGTCATGAGCATGAGCCAGAAGAAGCTTAAATGATAAATGTGGATATGTCTTAAGGGGTAGAAATTTAGCATCATTTCATGTTGATGCAAAATTCTTCCATATGCTTACAAGAACACATACCCCTTGTACCTAAGCACAGGAAGTTCATGCCTGACCCATGTGAATTTTCTCTAAATATTATTTTCCTTTGAAAATATATTTTGAAAGCTATTTCTTTTCCATCAAATTGAATGGATAGAAATACAGGAAATAAATTCTCACAAAATGCTTGTATGAAGAAAAAAAATGCATCATGTAATAGTTAACTTGCAGGCTTAATAACAACTTCTCAAGCTTAACAGTCTTGATTCAAAATGTATTCCTTTCAAGTAGATATATTTAGTTTGAGAAGGGTCATTCCCTTACTTCATCTCACTTGATCTAACCGGAACATTTGTTTTCATCACGAATCTGTAAATGAAGTGCATGTCCCATTCACTTACAAAACAGTCATACAAAAATGAATCACATTCTTATCACTCCAGTACTTGAAATTAAGACCTTTTTCTCCTGGAAGGGAAGGAAGGAAGGAAGGAAGGGAGATTTAGTTTGTGTTTTGTTCACAAGAGCTATCTTGCTGTATTTTAATTATGGGTTCAACCTTAACATCAGAGAAGCATTATGATGTTCTACACAAAAGACCCAGTGTTTTATGAGGAACACCCAAAATAGCAAG